AATGTTCATTTCAATTTTGATTATCATTAATTCTCCTTTGTGTATGTGTGGAGATCACTGATTTTGATAATCATAATAGTAAATGAAAGAGGAAAACATTCTACCGTGTTGATCCCCAATCCAAATGATGATTTTAATGTAAATGATGATTTTAATTTTGATAATCACTAACTCGCCCTCCGACAGGTGTGCGAGAGCCGGCTGACGAGCAGCGGCATGGAGGTGACCGTCTGCGAGCACTACCGGGCCGTGGTGAGGGCGCTGGTGGCCGAGGCGCTGGACCTGGTCTCGTTCCTGCAGAAGGTGGCCCTCGGGAACAAGTTCGCGCCGCACCCGTCGGATCTGCTGAGCTCCGAGAGGGACCTGCAGGAGCTCCAGCGGGAGGATTGGGTAGGTTTGGGGTGGGGGGGGAGGGGTGGGGGTGTGTGGAAGGGGGGAGGGGGGAGGGGGAGGGGGGAGAGGGGAAGGATGGGAGGGAGGAAGAATTTTTTTCCCCTTTTTTCAGGTTGTTGAGAAGGATGTGGGGGTGATCTTGCAGGTCAGTTTGCAGGTCAATTGAGTTTTTTGAGTCGCGCAGGTCATTCTACGGGTGTTCTTTTGTCCTAAGTCACTGCAGGAAGACTTAGATTCCTGTACGAGTCGCTGTAGGAGGCCTGGAGGGGGGAGGGGTCATGGCGTAAGTAACTGTACAGGCTATTGCGCAGGTCACGGAGGTCACGCAGGTCACGCAGGTCAAGGTGCAGGACATCCAAGTCACCGAGGGAGGGGTGAGGGGGGGAGGTCGCGGATTTAAGGCGTGGGAGTCAGAGCACAGGGTAGTTTGTAGGTCACTGTGTAGGTAGGAAAGGGAGGGAGGGAGAGGGAGAGGGAGAAAAGAGGGAGGGAAGGAAGGAGGGGGAGAAAGAAAAAAGGGAGGGAGAGAGAGAGAGAGAGAGGGAGAGAGAGAGAGAGAGAATAAGAGGATGAGAGACATGATACGCTATCCTTCTGCTATAGTCAAGGCATCTTGCCCAGTACGCAAGGGAAAGTATTCGCGATTTCTCTCTCTCTTTCTCTTTCTCTCTCTCTCTCTCTCTCTCTCTCTCTCTCTCTCTTTCTCTTTCTCTTTCTCTTTCTCTTTCTCTTTCTCTTTCTCCCCCCCCCCTCTCTGTCTCTCTCTCTCTCTCTCTCTCTCTCTCTCTCTCTCTCTCTCTCTCTCTCTCTCTCTCTCTCTCTCTCTCTCTCTCTCTCTCTCTCTTTCTCTCTCTTTCTCTCTCTTCTCTCTCTCTCTCTCTCTCTCTCTCTCTCTCTCTCTCTCTCTCTCTCTCTCTCTCTCTCTCTCTCTCTCTCTCTCTCAAAATATATTTCTCGGGAGAAGAAAAATCTTGCACGAATTGGCGATGCAATGAGATTAGAAACAAGCGATCATGTGGTCGATAGTGCATGGTTATGTTGCATAGTCATGTTGCAAAGTCATGAGTCAATCTCTCTCTCTCTCTCTTTCTCTCTCACTCTCTCTCGCTTTGATTAATCAAGTCACGATATTGCAAAGGTAAAGAATTTATTCAGATAGCTTTTTTTCGGATTGTTTTAGTGTCTTTTGAAAATTCAGTGTTGAAAAAAAATTCTTCCGGACGCCATTTTTGGGTTTCCGATAGTCTCTTGTTTTAACGGATTTCGACAAGATAAAAAGAGAGAGAAAAAAAAATATCAACTGTCCTCACAGAAAAAAAAAATATCAACTGACCTCCCACCTACCTGTTTGCATTGTTGAATTAGTTGTGTTGCACATTTAATTAATTCTCTGAAATCAGATTCATCGTTGTCATTGTTGCATAATGCTCGGGTCGTGGTGCTCTCTTGTTTCTCTCTTTCTTTCTTTCTCTTTCTATTTTTTTCCAAAAATCAATATATGTATATTTTTTATTGTTTTATCATTTCTTTGATTATATTTTTATTATTATTATGTTAAATTGTAACCTCGTTTGACCAATATTTGTTTTTCTTTTTCTTCTTTCTTTGAGCAATTTATGTCGTGTCTGAGTTTTTTACCTTCATGCAAATCGGGTAAAACTTGTAAAAAGACGCAGTGGAGGAAGAGGAAAAGAGAAAAAGAAAACTTTCCTAATTCTAATCAAGATAATGCCAAGAAATAAAATAAAGGAAGAAAGAAAATGCCAACGCGCCCCGTCAACCTCTGCGGGAGAGATTGATGATCAAATATAATCAGATTGAATCAACATGGAGGACTCGCCGAAGCGCCATATTGAAATTCCTTTTAAGCAGTACGACCGCTCTGAAAAATCCCTTTCCCACGCCCTTCTAGACTATTCTCCTTTATTTTAGGGCTGTAAGGTTTATAGGGTGAGAGTGTGGGGCAACCTTTGTCAACTAGTCAGGCCGTCAGAGTAAGTTGGAATCTGCCAGGGGTGAAAATGGCGGAGGGAGAGACCGCGGGGGCAATAACTGTCATGGCGGCGGTCGCTAAGTCACGTGTTTTATGGCCGATTTTCTTCCTTTTTTCTTTCGTTTTTTTTTAAGGTTGGTAGGCAGGTGGGTAGGTAAGGGAGGGACGGAGGGAGTGAGGGAGGGAATATTTTTTTTATCTTTTGTCACGTGGGTAAATTATGTCGTAAAGAAGGTTAGATAAAACTTTTTCTTTTACTTTTTCGTTATTGTTTTTATTATATATATATATTTTTTAATGAAATAAGTATAGACATTTTTTTTAAAGAATGTTAAGCTTTAAAGCTGATGAAATTAGTATCTTCCGAGTTAATAACGGAACTTGATTAAACTGAAAATAGTTTGAAATAGGAATTTTGTTTGTGTAAAATGCAGGCAGCTTCATTAAGATTTTTTTAAGGAGATAATTGCTCAAGTCCAAGCGAATTTATGCGCAAATTGGTCTAGTAGGGAATAGAAAATATATTATGGAACAGCGAAAGGGAGAAGGGAACGGAGGGAGAAGGAGAGGAAGAGAAAGAGAAAGAGAGGGAAAGGAGAGAGAAGGAGAGGAAGATAGATCGAGGGAAAGGAAGAGAGAGAGAAGGAAATGAAGAGAGAGAAAGAGAAGATAAAACAACAAAAAGTAAGAGGAGAAAAATAAGAAAAAAATAAGATAAATGCCAAACGGAAGAGGAGAAGCCGAGAGAAGAACATAGAGGAAAAGATCTCATTTATCACAAATTGGATCCAGGTAACATGTATTTTTCGCGCGCGTGGGATTAATTGACAGGTAGATGGCGCGCGCGTGGGAGGGAGGGGGGGGGGGCTAGGGTGAAGGATGTTTTTTTGTTGTTTGATTTTTTTTTTTTTAGAATCGTATGTATTGATTTTTTTTCTCTCTTTATGGGTATTTGTCAGCGGTCTCGTTCTCTTTCTTTTTATTTCTTTCATTCTTTCTTTCTTTCTCTTGCTCTCTCTTTCTCTCTCTTTCTTTCTCTTCCTTTCTCTCTCCTTCACTCCCTCCCTTCCTCTCTCTCTCTCTCTCTCTCTCTCTCTCTCTCTCTCTCTCTCTCTCTCTCTCTCTCTCTCTCTCTCTCTCTCTCTCTCTCTCTCCTCCCTCCCTCCCTCCCTCCCTCCCTCCCTCCCTCCCTCCCTCCCTCCCTCCCTCCCTCCCTTCCTCCCTCCCTCCCTCCCTTCCTCCCTCTCCCTCTCCCTCTCCCTCACCCACGCCTTGATCATGTAAAGAACCGTACACACCTTCTCGGAACGACTAATAATCCACGCCATTCCCGTCGGAAATATTCCAGAAAATTCCCCTTTCCCGGCTGGAACACCTTTCCCATCCCTGCGTTTCAATTGTCCTTTGGTTGGGGAAACACTCGTTTAAAATCCCGTGGGTCTCATTGTCTGTCTGGGGGGAAAAAATAAGGAATATTCCAGACTTAATTGAGGAAACATTATTGCGTATGCTATAAATAAACCGAAACTTTATGAATGGCGAGACGAGAGAGAGAAGGGGGGGGGAGGGCGAGGGGATGGGATGACGTCATTGCATGGTTTCCCTGGTTTCCTCGTCGCGATTGGTCGAGGAGGAAGGGAAAGCGCGCGAGGGCGTCGATGGCGGCACGTGATTGGCTGGCGAGGGCTTTGGCGTCACGGTTTCCATGGCAACGGCAAGACAGGGGTAGGGGGTGGCGGGAACAAGGCTTGAGAGGGAGAGGGGGTGTGTGGGGCGGGGGAGGTTGTGCGCGGAATTCCATCTGTTCATTTGTTCGTTTAAAGATGTAGTCGAATTAAGGTTTTAAGCGGATTCTCTGCTGGGTTGGCGAAAGAGGGAATGGTAGGGAGAGCAGAGGAGCTAAATGTGGAAACAGCAAGAAGAGAGGGAGGAAAGGGAAGACAAAACAGGTGTCTATGACGTAGCGTCGGCGCGTCTACCACGGCCATTGATTCAGTTCTGGGTCTACCCCCCTCCTCTCCTCTCTCCTTCTTCCCTTTCTCTCCTTCCCTCTTTCTTCCTTCTTTCTCTCCTCCTCTTATTCCCTCTCTCCTTCCCTTTCTCTTCTTTCCCCTTCCTTTTCCACATCCCTCTTACCGCTCTTCCTTCCTCCTCCCTCCTCTCCCCTTCTTCCCTCTCTTTTCCCCTCTTTCTTCCTCCTCTCTCCTCTTCCTCCTCTCTCCTCTTCCTCTTCCCACTTCCCTTTTTCCTATATTGTTTCTTCTTCTCCACTCCACTCCTCTCCTCCTCTCCTCATTCTTGTCCCCCTCTACTTATTCCCTTTCTTCCCTCCCCCCCGCTTCTTCTTTTTCTTATCCTCCTCCTCTTTCTTCTCCTTCTCCTTCTCCTTTATCAGTGGTTATTCTTCCCCTCCTTCAGTTTTCTTTAATCACTCTTTCTATTCTATCTCTCTTATCACGTAGTCGTCGCCCCCCCCCCCCCCCCGCCTATCGCCTGTCCTTCCATCCCCTTTAATTCGCTTCCCTCTTGCACCGCTCCCTTGGTCTTCTTTTCCTCTGTCCTATTCCCCTTTCTCCCTTCCTCCCTCAACATCCCTTTCCGTCCCTCCCTTCCTTCCTCCCCTTCCCCTCCCTCTCCCCCTTCCCCTATTTCCCCCAACCCTCCCCTCCCCTATTATTCCCTCCTTCCCCCTCCTTCCTTCTCCCATTCCTTCCCTCGTTCCTCTTACCTCCTTCCCTCCTCCTCCCATTCCTTCCCTCGTTCCTCTTACCCCTAATCTTTTACCCCCCTCCCTAATTCCCTAGTTTTTCCCCTCCCCTATCTTCCCCATTCTCCCCCCCCTCCCCTCATTCCCCTTCATCCCCCTCCCCCAATCCCCCCCTTCTCCCCCCTCCCCCTCATGAATGTTATCGCCCCGGCCGCCCCCCCCCCCCGGAGCGCGTCCCACATGGGAGGGGTAACTACGCCTTTGTCTGCGGGGGGGGGGGGGACCTTCTCTTGAGCCTCATATGTTGCACGATGCTGGGCTATGTTGGGTTGGTTATGTTGCTGGGTTGGGAGGCTATGTTGGGGTTGGTTATGTTGCTGGGTTGGGAGGCTATGTTGGGGTTGGTTATGTTGCTGGGTTGGGAGGCTATGTTGGGGTTGGTTATGTTGCTGGGTTGGGAGGCTATGTTGGGGTGGGTTCTGTTGCTGGGTTGGGAGGCTATGTTGGGGTTGGTTCTGTTGCTGGGTTGGGAGGCTATGTTGGGGTGGGTTCTGTTGCTGGGTTGGGAGGCTATGTTGGGGTTGGTTCTGTTGCTGGGTTGGGAGGCTATGTTGGGGTGGGTTCTGTTGCTGGGCTAGGTGGCTATATTGGGGTGGGTTCTGTTGCTGGGTTGGGAGGCTATGTTGGGGTTGGTTCTGTTGCTGGGTTGGGAGGCTATGTTGGGTTTGGTTATGTTGCTGGGCTAGGTGGCTATATTGGGGTGGGTTCTGTTGCTGGGTTGAGAGGCTATGTTGGGTTGGTTATGTTGTTGGGCTAGGTGGCTATATTGGGGTGGGTTCTGTTGCTGGGCTGGGAGGCCATGTTGGGGTGGGTTCTGTTGCTGGGCTGGGAGGTTGTTTGGATGGGTTATGTTGGTTGGTTGTGGCTATGTTGGCTATATAATTTTTTTTGTTTTGTTTATGATGTGTTGACTTGTTATTTGGTTTGGCTCTTTTGGGTTGCCATTTCATCATGTAGGATAATATGTGGCTTAGTTACAGGGCTATGTTGGCTGGCTGTTTGGCTTGGTTATTTGTCTATATTTGCTTGGCCGTTATGTCGTTTGGCTCTTTGGCTATATTGTGTGCTTGTCTGGCTATATTAACTTACTGTTTGGCTATATTAGCGGGATATTTGGCTATTTTGGCGGGATATTTGGCTATTTTGGGAGGGTGGAAGGAGGGATATATATATGTGTGTAGAGGGAGGGAGGAAGAGAGGAAGGGAGAAGAAAGAAAGAAAAGAAAGGGTGAAAGAAGGAAAGAAGGAAGGAAGGAGAGAGAGACAGAGAGGGGGAGGGATACATATCCAAGGAATTGAGGAAAGAAAAGAAAGGGAAAGAAGGAAGGAGAGAGAGAGACAGACAGACAGAGACAGAGTGGGGGGGGGGGGTACATATCCAAGGAATTAATTAGGCAGGATATTGGGTTTATCTGTCGCTGGTCTGAGATAAGGATGTCTCCTGTAAACCCCATGCGGTGCGGGCGGAGTTTACGATGGAGGGGGGGGGAGGATGGGCGGGTGTGGGTAGGTTGGTGTTTCTTCTTCTTCTTCTTTTCTTCTTCTTCATCCTCTTCTTCTTCTTCTTCTTCTTCTTCTTCTTCTTCTTCTCCTTCTCCTCCTCCTTCTCCTGCACTTTCTCCTCCTCCTCCTCTTCCTTCCTCTACTTCTTCCTAATTAGAGAGAGAAAAAAATGTTTATGAGAAAAAAATGTGAAGAAGAGGAGAAAGAATAAGATAGATATTTTTTCTTAGGAAATGAAAGTTAAAGAATAGGTAACAATTTTCTGTTAAGACTATTAATAATGGACACACACACACTCTCATTATCTTTCTCTCTCTCTCTCTCTCTCTCTCTCTCTCTCTCTCTCTCTCTCTCTCCCCCTCTCTCTCTCCCTCTCTCCCTCTCTCCCTCCCTCCCTCAGACATTCTTAAAGACATTTATTGAAAAATTAGATATTCTGTAAGCTTTGAATATCCTTTGCTATTAAGTATGCTTATGTTGCATATAGAAAATAATATTTGCAACAAGTTCCTGCAATGTGCATTGAGTGGCTAGCCCTTGCAGACTATAAATAGTAATTCAGGGAAATTCAGTGCAGGTAATTATCCGGGTTTAACATTTTCAAATATTTTTTCTGGTGAAATTATTTTGGGGAGGAAATTTTGATACGTTTATAAACAGCGTTCGCATGTGAATGAAACGTATATTTGAAGTTGATACATTTATTCTTAATTGATGGTATGATTGACTGTGAGAAATATTTTAGCAGTATTTGCTACGTAAGTTGTTGATATGTTCGTTATTAAGTGTTAATTGTTTAATTGCTTAAGAGCATTTCAATGTCAACTAAATAGGTATTATATTTGATTGATGGAATGATTGATGATGAGTAAATTTTCCACAAGATTCTGAAACAGCAGACTTAAGGAAAGGGAAAATGCTGTATGTGGTATTATTTTTCTACTTTTTTTCTCCCTAAAGGTGAGGGGGGTGGGGCTTAATTGAGAAGAAATGTGATAAACTCTAAGGGGTGGGAACGCCAGATATCACTGAGGGGTCACTCTTGCTAGTAGTTTAGGCACATTTATCTCTTTCTCTCTTTCCTTCTGCTCTTTTTATCTCTTTCTTTCCTTCTTCCCTTCTTTATTTGTTTCCGTCATGCTCTCTTTCTTTCTTTCCTTCTCTCTATCTCCTTATATATTGTCTTCACCCTTCTTGTTATTATCATTATCATTATTCTACTATTACTGCTTTTTCGGATTCTTCTTTTTAATAGATTTGTGATTTTAGTGCAATCCTGTAAAGTATTACATATGGACGCATTTTTTATAATTCGCTTAGGTCATACACCCGGTAATTTAATTAGCCATTAGCCAATTATAATGATTAATTAATGTCTGTTCTAAATGACATGTGTTGGGACAGATGCTTTGGTTTGAGAGATATATTTAGAATTTCAATGCAGTGATTGTTTGTTTGTTTGACTAATATGTTTCAATCATTTCTTTCTCTCCAAAAAAAAATGGAATTGGGCATTAGTACCTTCAACCTTAGGAATCTTTTTCTTTTTTCTTTTCCCTTCTTAATTCTGAAACTGAAAACGAATCCCATCTTGTTACAGGCTCGACTATGGATCCAGGTGATGCGTCAGCTGCGGGAGGGAGTCAAGCTGAAGAAAGTGGAGTACTCTTACGCCCCCATAGAGTATGCTCTCACCCCCTACGAGATGCTGATGGAAGACATACGGTCGCGCAGGTTCGTTCTTTGCTGTTGCCGCTTTTTTTTTTTTTTTCTTTCTTCTTTTTTTTCTGGTTGTGTTTTGAATGTGGTGTTATTATTGCTATCGTTGAGTGCTGAAGATAATGATGGAAGATAATTGATGATTTGAGAGGATTACCATGTTAGGGAAGTCTTGGGTGGTTAGGGTATTGATGTTCTTTAAATTCCTAATATTCTGTGATTTTATATTTTAAAATGCCATGTTTCAAGTCATTTCATGAAGTATGAGACCTAAAATTAAATTATCCTGGAGTCAGAATTATTTTCAGAAATAAACAGGGCCAATACTCATGTCAGTAATCTTCAGTTGATAAGTAATCCTTTGCTCCAGTGGCTTTAAGAGTTTTTTTCTCCTGCAGATACACCCTAAACAAAGTCATGGTTAACGGTGACATTCCTCCTCGGGTCAAGAAAGACGCACACACCATCATCCTGGACTTCATCAGGTCACGTCCACCTCTTAGAAAGGTATGTGTGTGTTTCTCTTGTGTGCATATGTGTAATTATATGTCTCTTTTTGTCTTTGATACTGACATGTATAATGAAGATGTTGATGATATAGACATATTACAAGGGTAACTATTCATCAAAATATTGATAGAAAACTTAGGTAATCTTGTTTATATAAAGATATACATAATATTGTTGTAAAACTGACTATATGGCCAGTATTGGTGGAATTATTAGTGCAAAGATTATTCATCGTAAGAAAATATTTTACCTGTTATTAAAAAATAACTTGAGGATCAAAGCAGTACAAAAAATTCAATGTTATAATAAGTGGAGATTTAATATGATTTGAAATCAGTTTGATTCAGTGATTCAAAAGAGATGCAAATGAGATAAAATTTGGATATGGTGTTGGCAACTCATCAGTGACAAACCATCGTAAACTCAACCAAATTCAACCACCCTCATTGCAGGCATCCGAGCGTAAGCTGTTGCCGCCCCCAAGAAAGATCTCATCTCCAATGGAACTGCTGATGGAGAGCATCAGGAAGGACCACAACCTCAAACACGTCTCAACGCCCACAAGAGCCAGACCCATGTCGAGTGAGTACTGGAGTGGATTGGTTTGTTCAGTTATTAGTAGTTTTAGTATTTTGTCTACTTATTAATAGTATTTTTTATTGTAATTATTATTATTTATTTATTTATTTATTTATTTATTTATTTATTTTTTTTTTTTACAGTAGGCAGTCTTTTTTCTTTTTCGTGTTTTTCACTTTTTGCCAAGAATTATTTTGTTACAGATTTTTGCCATTTGCCATGTATAAAATGCTTTCCTTTTATATGATGACTTTCTTTTTATGATGTTTTTTCAGTGAGGAATTGTGTGGAAATCAGAGAATTGTAATTGTTTTTTCTTGGTAGCTTGTGAGGGTTTATGAAAAAGGATATATTTGTCATGTTGTAGCTGGATTATCATACATTATATTTATTTATTCTGTTAAACTTTTTCCCCACAATTGGAGCCGGAAAGAAGTAGATAAAAGACTGGGAAATATCTATTCCAATTTGCTTTTGTTACGAGGAGGAAAAACTCATTAGCGAGAGGGAATGACTCAAATGAATTTGCATATTATGGCTGTTAGTATGTATGAGTGGATTGGAATGAATACCTAGTGTGATTATTAGCATTCGGCCTTTGTGTTCCTTGTCACAGCGGCAACAAACCGCAGACAGTAATTAATGGGTTGATTATACTGTGGTGTCCTGCCGGCTAGATCCTGTCGATGCACAGTGAGATCTTTAGCGATTGAATAAAATGGAATATGATTATAACGCAGGCTCTAAGAATGGGTTATTATCTTGCTGGTGAAAATCTATGAATGTTGGATTTGATTGGCTTGGTCGTTGTCAAGAAATTAATTTGTTCCATTCAGTTTGAGGACTTGATGAAAACACGTGGGTTATTGTATTTCCTGCAGCTTTGAAAGATATCTCTCTATAAGGTTTATAAGATAAAGAAAGTTAAGAAGGAAATGATGAAAACAAGAGCACTGATTCAGTTCCATTTATTGTTGCTAATTGGCCATTAATTGTAAGCTAAGGAGAGTAATGTGAAAGATCACTTGATTAAGCAACTGCAAGCTCTCTTCCTTCCTGAGCTTTCATCATTGCCTAAAATTGTCTTAGAAATAGTACAGTCTCATTATTATTTTCATTTCACGGTGCGGAAAGGTGAAAGTAATTAGTCCAGATTGGATAGTCTTAGATGAGAATTCACTTGTTTTTCACTTGTGTTTGTTTGTCATGTTTTTAGAAGTTAAAGCCATGTTTGTTTATTTTCTTTCAACATGTATGTAGAGCAGGTGATTTTATTGATTTTTTTCTCTTGTTTTATCTTCTTTACTTTCCTCTTTTTCAATTTGATGTTCATTTTCTTGATACCTTTTTTTCCTTTCTTATTTGATTTATCTTTAGTTTCTTCTGCCTTTCCATTTATCTCCATTTTATTGATAATAGGAGTCATGCTATATTTTCTTTTCTTTCCTTGTTGTCTTTGTCTCTGTCTTTTATTTACCTTTTTTTATCACTTAAACTTAAACTAAAGCATAAATCAGACAAGAGAGTGGGAATGATATCATGGTGTTTGATATTCATTTTTTACATTTATTCCACATTAGAAAAAGTATAGCAAATAGTGTATCAAATTAATAACAATAACAACAACAACAATAACAACAGCAATAACAAAATAACAATAGAAAAATAACAAGAGCCTTAAAAACATATAATATGTTTGAACTCCTGAAATTACTGTAATAAGTTTCGTTGCAGTAAAATGTGTTTGTTTGGAACATCCTGTCGGGAATTAGCTTGGATTGTAGAACTGTGCAACATATTTTCTTTAATTTAGGGCAGCTGAAACACCCAGGCTGAAGATAATGTTACTGTGCTTAAAGTTGTGCTTGCATTTGACAAAAAAGGAGAAGATAACGAGCGAACACGAGCCGGGAATTCGCTGGGAATTTATTATTTCTAATGTTATTCTCTGCAATGTTGAAAAGCTGTGGGAGGGAGATGAGGTTGCAAGGTAAAACCTGCTTTTGCAAGTATCAGTGCAAGGGAAATAATTACTTTCTCCTTAAAAAACAAGGAAGGGAATGCAGTAGAGAAAAAATTCATATTTTTTGTTTATTTAGTTTTTATAGCAGAAAGGGAAAGAATGTGCATGTCTATTTGCATATATATATTTTGGCAGGATATAGGATGGATTTTGAATTTTGTTTAATTTCCTTTTCATTTTGCATAAATATCTATTCATCTAGTTACTGTATCTGTCTACCTTTCTTTCTGTCTGTCTGTCTGTCTGTTTCTTAGTTTGTCAGTCAGTCTTTCTGTCTGTCTGTCTGTACATTTGTCTGTGCAGTTGACATATATACCTGTTGTATCAAGTCTATCCACTCATCTATTTCTCTATCTATTATTTCCTCTCATGTGTGGCTTTGGTATCATGATGCAGAATTCTAAGAAGCTGAGGGCGTGTCACTGTGCTGAGGCGAAGGTCAAGGGAAACAGATCCCAAGAAGTTGTTAATGATGTCGCAAAGTCTCGAAAGAAGTGATGCTCTTTTTTTTTTTTTACGTGAAATTAGGAGGAGGCAGAGAGGAGATTATGGTGATAGAGTGGTGTGGTGGTGGTAGTTTTTTTTTTAGTTTTTTTTATTTATTTATTTATTTATTTTATTTTATTTATTTTTTTTTTTTTTGGGGGGGGTAGGGGAGATAGATAGATGGGTAGATGTTAGGAGGAGATAAAGTAGAGGTAGGTGAGAGAGAGAGAGAGAGAGAGAGAGAGAGAGAGAGAGAGAGAGAGGGAGAGAGGGAGAGAGAGAGAGAGAGAGAATAAGAGAGGTGAGAGGTAGTGAAGAGGGAGGAATAAAGTGATGAAGATGTAGAGGTAGATGAGAGAGAGGAGAGCATAATAAAGTATTAAAAGGTAGAGGAAGGAGAAGCATAAGATAATAAAGAAGCAGAGAAGGATGAGAGAAAGAAATTAGAAAAGAACATTTTTTAGGTGAGAGAGAAATAATAGATACAAAAGAAAATATGTGATGGAAAAGATATGTAAAAAAGGAATGGAAGAAGGTAGATTGCTTCAAGAAAAAAAGAAAAAAAACAAGTGGAAAGATCATTAAAACAAGAAGATAATAAAAAAGATATAAATTCAGAAGAAAAAGTCAGTATTGTGTACGAGAAAAAAATAATGAACCAGTTTGCATGGGAATGAAGTCTAAAACAAAAACAGACCAGAAAAAAAAGCTTTAGTTAAACAAAGAAAAGAACATAGGATATATACCCAGGGTCCTGGTTATGATTAGGATTTCCCAGGAAGAGATGGAAAGCGGAGAAATGAGGACAAGAAATGGCAGGAGGAGAGGAAGAACTGGTGTGTCTTCCCCTCGCTCGCTTTCTAACGACCTACTCTTGTATTTCTCTTCCCTTTTCTGATTTTGGCTTTCATGTTTTTATTTAACTTACTTTTTTTTTCTCTCCCTCACCCTCTCCCTCTCTCTCCCTCTCCCTCTCCCTCCCTCCTTCCTTCCCTCCCTCCCTTCCTCCCTCCCTCCTTCCCTCCCTCCCTCCCTCCCTCCTCCTCCCTCCTTCCCTCCTTCCCTCCCTCCTCCCTCCCTCCTCTCTCTCTCTCTCTCTCTCTCCCACTCTCACTCCTTTCCTCATTTGTCACATTTTTTTTGTCCCATTCCCTCTCCTTCTATCTTTTCTTCTTCTTCTTCTTCTTCTCGTTTTCCCCTCTCCCTCTCCCAGTCCCTCTGCCTCGCCTTCTCCTGTCTTTTCCTCTTCCTTTTGCCCCTCCCTTTGCCCAGCCGGCCAGGGAGCCCAAGGTAGCAGGTGCTCGGGCATGACTAGCGGGTAGCCTCGGCGTGACTGGATGAGGGTGGAGGGAGAGGGGGAGGGAGTCGGGAAGGGAGGGGGGAGGAAAAGAGGGGTTGGGAGGGGGTTAGAGAGGTAAGGAGATGGGGAGGGAGTGGGAGTGGGGTAGGGGAAAGGGAAAGGGGTAGGGAGGGGAGAATAGGAGGGGGTTAGAGGGGTAAGGAGAGGGGGAGGGGGAAAGAGGGGTAGGGAGGGGGGAATGGGAGGGGTTAGAGGGGGAGGGAGTGGGAGAGGAAAAGGGGAGGGGGAAAGAAGGGTAAGGAGGGGGAGAGGGAGAGGATAAGAGGGGGAAGGAGGGGGAAGGGAAGGGGAATAGGGAAGGGGTAGGGAGGGCGGAAGAAAGGTGCAGAGAGAAGGGAAGGGGAGAGGAAAAGATGAGTAGGTAGGGGAAAGCGGAAGGAGAGGAAGACAGGCAGTGGTAGAGGAAGAAAGAGTAAAGGTAAGAGTTTGTTCCTGTTTCTCTCTTCCCTTTTCCCTTCATCCGGTCCTTTCCCTCTCTCTACTTCCCCTCCCCCAGCCTCCTTTTCTTTCTCCTTCTTCCTCCTTCCCTCTCTCACCTATTATCACTCTCCTTCCTCCTCTCACTCTCCCTTTCAGCTACTCTCTCTCTCTTTCTCTCGCTTTTCTTCCCCCCTATCCCTCTTACTCTCTCCTTCTTTCCTCTTCCTCCTTCCCTCTCTCCTTCCCTCCCTCCCTCCTTTCCCTCCCTCTCTCCCTTCCTTCCCGCCCTCTCTCCCCTCGTATCTCCCTTCCTTCCCTCCCTCTCTCCCTTCCTTCCCTCCCTCTCTCCCTTCCTTCCCTCCCTTCCTATCTCCCTTCCCTCCCTCCCTCCCTCCCTGCCTCCCTCCCTCCCAGCGTCATCTTCCGCCAGGCAGAGACTCCTATTGTTTCGTGTCCACGTGTGTTTTAGGCCATCGGGCAGCACTTCCTCCCCCTTGAAGCCACGCCCACCTCCTTCCGGCCGATTTTTTTTTTTTTTTTTTGTGGGGGGGGGGGGGCAAGAAGGGAAGGAAGGATGTGAGAGAAAGAGAAGGTGGAGGAAGAAGGGAAGGGGAAAAAAGGGAGGAGGAGGAGGAGGAGGAGGAAGAGGAAGAGGAAGAGGGGAGAGGAGATGAAAGGTGAGATGAGGTGATGTGAAGAGAGGAGAGGGAGGAG